ATGATTAGAGTGCAAGTAATATGAGCCATGTTTTGGATGATTAAGTTTATAGTAATTTGAGTTTTGGTTTATTTCGTGTAGTGATTGAGAAATATCTGTAAATATTTAGTTTTTATAAATTCTGCATTTTTCATTTTTGACTTACAATTGACAATAAAAATCGTCGAAATTAATGTTTTTCTAAAGTAAACATTCATTATTAACATTAATTAAAGTTATTCAATACAGAGTACAGTGAATAGATATATAATAATAAATAATTAATTTTTCTAGCCATATTTTAATATTTATTTATAAAATAGTAATTTAGTATAAAATATAAATTTAAATAAGATGATAAAATTGTTTAAAGTTTATATGCATTTCTATAAAAATACAAATAAAAATGTCTTTTATAATAACACGATTTGATAAGGTATGACATTTGGGAACTACTGGTCTACTTGGTACGTACTGACTGGTCATAAACTTAATCCCTGAACCAAAGGATATCTTCTTGAGGTGTCGGAAGTGATAGTCGGCGCACATTAGGAACTGTTTGGATACTCTTTGCAATGCAATCAACTCATGGATCTCCAGATATGAGAAGATGTCAATCATGACATCGATGTTGAGGACAACGGGTGTCCGCCCTCTTGTGTTTGGCATTCATTATCAGATTTTGTCAAACGATAACTGTTTGAACTGTTTAGAGATTATAAAAGATTGTGATTTTGTTTATTAATAATAAATAATTATTATTATCAAATCTAATCTAATTTTGCTAAAACAAAATATACTGTAAGACACCTGACATGTAATCGGGAGACCCCGAGTTCAAATCCGGGCCCTGCTTTTAAGCCAATTTCTACTCCCTTTCCCCTCATTTATCTGATATAATAATAAGTTATTGAAAAAACATCTAAAATATACTGTAATTATTTTTAAGCAAATCATTTTGATTATTCAAAAACTATATTTTATTGTTTTTAATATTTTGCTCATTTCGATAGCTTTTTGATTCGTATACTGTCTGGAAGTTGTAGTCCGGCACACATTTCATCCACTTTTATGTCACTCAACACCCAAATTGTGAACATCTTTCGGGGGTTTCGTTCATTCAATTCACAGAAACGAGAGATAAACTTATGGCAAAGATGTGAATATATTTGTCTACCTCTTACATTTCATCCACTTTTATGTCACTCAACACCCAAATTGTGAACATCTTTCGGGGGTTTCGTTCATTCAATTCACAGAAACGAGAGATAAACTTATGGCAAAGATGTGAATATATTTGTCTACCTCTATCACTACGGCAAAGGAAACAATTGATAAGATATATTGCTATCAGATTTGGCAATTCATTGAGCGCTCGATATATAAGAGATGGCTTTTCTGTCACTTCTTCGGGTGAGACAATCAATCGACGAATTGATGTCAATTTGTCGATCATATGAAACATCAGTCGATAACATGTCACACATGGGTTCCCATGAATATCACATACAATGTATGTCTCGTATAACAAAAGTGTCTTTAGAAGAGGGAAACACTTTAAAAGTGATTCAAACGCCGATACTTTTATACTACAAAAGATGAGTTCAAGTGTTTTGACTCTTGAGAATCGGTACGACTTTTCTGTGTATTCATAATCACGACATTCAGGATAATCGAGTGACAAATATATGAGATTTGTCTGCTTTTGTGCCACTCTTTGCAATGCCTGCCAATCATTGAAGACGACGCTTATCCGATAACCCAATGCCTTGAGATTCATGTGATCAGTGATCATCTCAAGAGACTCTTCAGTCATTTCGATATCGAAAACAAACAGATAATCCAAATGTTTGCCATTACTGTCGACTAGACTTTGTGCCAATTGTCGGGTGAATTGTTGTCGTGAATCCAACCATAGTTTGAAATATTTAATATCTTTTGGCAAACTTTTGATTACTTGTGATAAATGGCTGTCTATTAAATGCAGAGTTAAAACTTGCAATTGTTTCAACATATGATGGAAACATATATCTAAAACTAGTTTTACCACACTTTTGGATAATAGTTGTTCCAAATGTTGGAACTGTTCTGAAGTCACGATAACCACTGCTTATATCCAGTGCTTTGAGTGATTGGAAAGAATTCATAATTTCATAGAATGTCTTGAAATTGGTCTCAAAGTGATGTAAAGCCAAATACTGAATGTTTGGAAACTTTGTTGAGATCCAAAACAGCATTTCTTTGCTGGCTATAAGACATGGCGCTCCGTCTGAATGGCATTCAAACATAGTGTTTGGGAAGACATAGTTTCTGGGAGTGACCGCTAATTTGGGACAATAGTTATTGAATTCAACCCGAGAATTGATGCCAATGTGAGTGAGTCTTCGGCACCAGTAGTTGACACACAACTGGAACTGTTTGGACACTCTTTCCATACGAATCCAATCATTTGTGTCCAGATATGAGAAGATGTGAATGAAGACATCGATGTTGAGGACAACCGGTGTCTTAATAGGAGGTCCACTCTCTTGGATAATACTCTTGTCTTTATCACTCATTTCAATGTTTTATCAAATAGTAACTGATTTGAATAATTTGATAAATATATTTGTTTTTGAAATAAAAGACTCGCGATCTTTTTATTGTTATCAAAGTTTCGGTTTATATTTTTAACCGACTATTAATTTGTGAATTTAAAATTTAAATTTTGTATTTAAATTATTTTCAAATAATTGTTTTGAAACAAAATTATTTATCAAAACATTATTTATATTATGCTGACAAAAGAAAATCAAAATTCATGTTTACTATTATTTAATGATCAGTGTCATTATTCCCTTATCAAGGATTTTGTCATTAATTTTAATGTTTTAAATAGAAATTATATAAAATTTAATTTACTAATTATTATTCCTTGCAATGTTTTGCAATTTATTTATTAATCTAAAAAACATGTGGATTATTTTAAATGGGAAATACCTGATACTGTATATACGTTTTTAATGTCAATTTAAATAACATTAAACATCATTAATCTCTAATTAAATATATTTTAATATTGATCAATTATCAAATATATTAGTGGGAAAGAGGCAATTAATTAATTTTTATATCTAATGATAAATATTATACTTGTAATAAAAATAAAACCTAATAAAATAAAACCTAATAAAAATAGTTAGTAAAATCCCCTAAATTTTCAAAATTATTATATAATTTATCTCATTGTATACTGGTACATTTCAATAGTGAGCAAAGATGAGCTCATTATAACATTTAAGCATAATTATAATCAATAGCACTACTATTTTTCTTATATTCAAATAGCCCTGAACTATAAAACCTTTAAAATGATTTAACTTACAAAATAGTTTAAAATACAAAAATATTAACCGTTATATTAATGACAAAATGTGTAAAAATACTTGAAGTTATTGTTATTTACTTTCAAATAACATGTCTGTAAATAATTTCTATAAATGTTTCTATTATAATTATAAATATTAATAAAGGATTTTTAAAAATGTTTGTCCTCATGGAATTTTTATATGATAATGATTAATAAAAATTAATGTAAACTATAATTATTTACTAATTATTACCTATATTTATAAATAAATTTGCATTGAAATTTTTATATAAATAAGAAATTTAGTATTATTATTACTATTTGACATATAATCTTGCAAAAATGGAAAATACTATGCATATTATAAGCGAGCAATGGTTACAATGGAATTATTTACTGACTAAAAATTCATTGATAATATTTCTGATAAGTATTTTAGTGTTATATTTGGCAGCTATTTATATTAAGTTTAGAATTAATGCAAATATAATAAATACAATACCGGGTCCTAAAGCCAACAATAAACTGATTGGAAATCTTGATTTATTTTATTCGTCCGCCCATTCAAAGCAATGGTTTCAAAGTATGTATTTTTATTTTTATTAAAATGTGTAATTGAGAATTAATTTTTTCAAAAATTATTAAGTTATTTATCTTTTGCACCTAGATACATACAAAACACTAATCAATTTGTGTAAATCCTATCAAAAGGAGGGTGTATTTAGGTTATGGATCGGACCATTTAATCCTATTATAATTTTATTGAATGCCGAAAATGTTGAGGTAAAGTAGCAAGGCATGGTTTTATTTTCAATATTTATAATTAATATGTGTTTGAAATGTCAAATAAAATAACTATAAAAGGTATTGCTATCAAATTCCACGAATATTTCAAAGGCTTTTGAATATAAATATCTGAGACCATGGCTTGGATGGGGTCTTTTAACCAGGTACAGTAGGTTTAAATGATTTTTAAGTTATTTTCCAAACAAAAATTTATTAAACGATTAACTTTGTAAGTAAAATTTATTTGGGAAAATTAAATAAAATGTTTTATAAAAGCACTGGTAGTAAATGGACAACACATAGAAAGCTATTGACTCCGGCGTTTCACTCCAAGATTTTGGAGAATTTTTTGCCCACAATTGCAAACCAACAGAAAATTATGTTTTCATTGATTGATAAAGAAATGGCCGAAAATGACGGTGTCGTCAATGATATAAGAAAACTGATTACAAACTATACTCTCGATGCTATTTGTGGTATTGATTTACAGAATAATCTTAAGGGTAATGAAAATCATATAAAAGTAATGTCTGACCCATAGAGACGGCAATGGGTGTGACTGTGAGCGCACAACTGAACCCAAACTCCGACTACGTTGAGGCCATTCGCCGCACATTTGCCGTCTCTATCCTCAGGTTTATANATCATATAAAAGTAATGTCTGACCCATAGAGACGGCAATGGGTGTGACTGTGAGCGCACAACTGAACCCAAACTCCGACTACGTTGAGGCCATTCGCCGCACATTTGCCGTCTCTATCCTCAGGTTTATAAAGCCATGGCTTTGGTCTGACTTCACGTTTTATAAGAGCTCTTTGGGAAGACTTCTACAGAAAAGACTTCATATATTACACGGATTCACAGATTCTGTAATATAAGAGTTGTTAGAAATGTTTGTATATTTTGTTCAATAGTTTTATTTGTTTTGACTCTTCAGGTAATCAAAGAGAGAAAGACTGAGATTTTAGATAAGATTAAAGATTATGAAAATACTTTTGACTCAATTGGCGATGCGATCGATGCAGCGATGACTAGTATCGGCACCAAAAGGCGACTCGTATTCCTCGATACACTCATCAATTATCATCTCAAACATAGTGACCACATGTCTGAGACGGACGTGCGCTCACATGTCGACACATTTATGTTTGGCGGACACGACACCACTGCCAGCTCTCTCATGTTCACACTTATGCTCATTGGGCAACACATGGATTTCCAGGTCTTATAATTTTATTAAGAATTTTCTCTTTTTTAATTAACTTTTATGTAATTTATTTAATAATTTCTTATTTCAGTCGCGAATACATCAGGAATTGAACGAAATATTCTCGGATGACATGAATCGCGACATAACTGTCGATGACTTAAGAAAAATGAAATTTCTAGACCAATGTATTCGTGAATCCCTGCGCCTCTACCCTCCCATTCAGATCATTGGCCGACAAATTGAGAAACCATTTCAATTGAAATCTGGATATCATATACCAAAGGGGTCGACATGCTATATACCGCTCATATGTCTGCACAGAGACCCGCATTACTTTCCCAAACCAGATGAGTTTGACCCGACCCGGTATGACAGCGATTGTACGGCCAATAGACACCCGTACGCTGACATACCCTTTAGTGCCGGCCCTCGCAATTGTATCGGACAAAAGTTCGCTATATTGGAGGAAAAGGCGTTTTTGGCGCAAATGTTTCGTAAATACAGTATTGAATCACTGGTTGATTGGGACGACACCAAAGTCGATATGTCTATTGTGTTAAAGCCTTCAATTCCCATGAAAATGAGGTTTACATTAAGAAATTGTTAAATATGTGTACGTAAGTCAAATACAAGTGCTGATAAATATTTTTTATAATCAATACTAATTTATAGTAAAATTATTTTTTATTTTTAAAATTTAAGTAAATTATTTTGATACAAATTAATAGGTAAACGACTTGTTTGAAGTGGAATTTATTATAAAGATTTTAAGGAATTTGATGAAATTTATTGATATCATATACATCTTTGTATAAATGTTTTCAATTCTGATTAATTTTATGCAGTTTTATTAGTTAATCAATTTAAGTTACAAATCAATAAATATCATACTTAAATATCCATTAATAATATACAGTACTTGTTTCATTAACATAATACACAATTTATTGAATAACTATTAATAAAATGACAATGTCTTTGTATAAAACATTAATTTCATTAAAAGCGTATCAAAAATATAATAAGTTTAAAAAACAATTGTTTTAAGTTAAAAAGAGGTAAAGATAACACTATTAATAGAAATAAATTGTGTTTAAGTGCAAAAATTGTGTTTAAGTGGAAATACAACAATTTATTAATTTGTTTCATGATTTTCTATTACTTTATTTTGTACCCAAAAGTTTGAAAACATGTGAAGTACAAAATTTTACTTGTACAGTAGAATGTATACAATGTATGAAATATTGCATAATAATATAGCAATGAAATAATGTGTTGTTATAATAATGATAATATTTTTACAAAAAAATATTGTACTGTATACTGGTACAATGAAAGTACAGACAATATTTTGTGTGTACAAAGTATTTATGATGAAAGGAATACATGTTCTAAAGGCTAAAGTATTTATGTTTAATTAAAAACATCTATTGACTCGAAAAATAATATGTAAATAACATATAAAATTGTCAATTTAAAATATATAATATAAGAAAGGTCAAATCAATAATGTTTATTTCGAAAATGCAATGAAATTAATTGTTCACATTAAATCATTTGAACATAAAATCCAACATTTTAAAAATTATTAATCGTAAGCAAGCAAGCTAAAAGTATCATATAACAAATGAGTACAAATACGATTACGATAGCTACAGCTCATGTATGTATTGATACTAATTTTAAAACTTATATAATCCAAAATTGTATTTGATCAGGTACCTCCATTTGTATACTTGCGAAATGTTAGCAACACTTGGGTTATGGAGAGAGGTATTGAAAAGGAATTCCTACATGTGATGATCCATTACTTTAATTTCACGTATTCACTCATTAATTGCAAATCAATGGGTGTTAGACTTAGCAATAATAGCTGGACAGGGATGTTGGGGTTAGTTAATCAATCGGTTAGTGTCATAATATTTTTAATATAATTTTTAAGAATCATATTAATAAAATAAAACTTATTAATTATTAATAATTTTCAAATACATCAAGAAAGTAGACTTTGGTTTGGGAGGCATATCCCTGACGGACGAGCGCTCGGATGCTGTATACTTCTCTCAGTCCCATATCATAACTGGCGTCACATTTCTGACCCGCAAACCAAAGCCTAGACTCATATTAACCCTAATCATCAAACCGTTTGATGACTACGTTTGGACGTGGATTGCAGTTTCATTTATAGCCATAATTGGCACCATTTATGTATTCAAATACATAGACATTGACCTCAAATTCAATTCATCTGCTATTAAGTGGGCGGTAGTGAGCGCTGCCCTCCGGCAACAGTGCGATGTTGTCATACCGTATAAACTGAGACTGGCACCATTTATGTATTCAAATACATAGACATTGACCTCAAATTCAATTCATCTGCTATTAAGTGGGCGGTAGTGAGCGCTGCCCTCCGGCAACAGTGCGATGTTGTCATACCGTATAAACTGAGACCAGTGTTGGTGTGTTGGCTGTTGGCATGTCTTGTGCTCACATCCAGTTATAGCGGATGTCTGTTCTCATTGATGGCATTCCCCACAAGATATAAGACAATTAATACGGTGGAAGAGTTGGCCGACGCCCAGACCCACAATAGGATACAAGTTATGGCCACAGACAGCGGGGCTTACTATGTGATGATTAAAGTAGGAATCTAATCTTGGTTATTGTTATTGCGATATACTATATATATATTTATTTATTGATTATCGTATGAAATATAATTTTGGTGCAGAAATCCAATACCGGTGTTGGGAAGCAGTTATCGATCGGTTTGAGAGGTGTTTTCAATACGATTGCCGGTATGAATGAGATGAGGGAAAGTACTGAGGAATTGGCGTTTATATCGTTTCGCGAGGCACTGGTATATCGCATGTATGAGTACGGCTCGGTATTCAAAGTAAACGGAGGGTTATGGCTACTCAGGTGTGATAAGTACCTAGACAATTGTCAACGGTATTCATTTCCTAAACCTATATTTTCAGTTTATTTATCTAACATTCGTAAAATTTTTAAATAAATAATTATTCATTAATTACTAAACTTTTTATGTCAACAGAATATCTATAGTGAAAAAGGCGGGACTCATAGACTTCTGGAGGGCTAATGAAATGAGAAAAATATCGGTTGACTTCAATACTACTTATAAGTCGTTGACGAGTAGTGATAAAAATATTAGAAAACAAAATCAAGATTTTAGTCCAATTTATTTGAGTCAATTACGGAGTGCTTTATTTATGATTATTTTAGGTGTTATTGTTTCTATAATGACATTAATTATAGAAATTTTTATTTATAGAAGTAGAAAATTGTTTTAGAAAAGTAAAGTAAATTATCAATAAAATATAAATTATAATACTGTATAATAATAATACGGTCAATATTTAGATTATAAAAATTCAATGATTTACCAAATATGGTTTAGAAGTAAAACTAGTAAATAAATAACAGTTATAAAAACATACTCCAGTTCCCATCAGCTGATTTCTATGCTATGAAACTCAACCTTTAATCTTTGAATACCTTTCCATAAAAAATATCAATACATTTTATTAGGCATTTGCTGTGAAATTTAATTGTATATAATTTTTGTTTAATAATACAGTACTGTAGTTACTCTACACAATTTTTCACACATTTCAATAATACAATGTATAGTTTGTTAATTGAAAGAAATTACTTTTTGACAAACAATATAATTATTTATCGTTACTCATAAAAATGTTTTATATTTGACAATCAATACAATGTCATAATGTAATTATAAGCTTTTATAATAGAAATGTCAAACATATAATAAATACTGTATTTGTTTCGTATTTTAAATAAAGTAATTTGTGATTAAACACTAATATTGTATATGTGTAAAATATTTTAACTTATTACTAATCATGGTAACATTAAAAGTAGCAACAGCCGAAGTAAGTCATAGTAATTTATCCGAAATAACTTTTTGTGAATTATTATAATAATTATTTAATTTTGTAATTATGAACACACCAGATACCTCCGTTTGTATATTTACGAAGAGTAAATGATACAAATACCTGGCTCATGTACAGAGGCATTGAGTTTGAAATGCTTAATCTGATGAGAGTGTACCTCAACTTTTCCATCAAATTTCTGAAATGTGATAATTTAGGTGTCAAACAGACCAACAACACATGGACTGAACTTTTTGGACTTATTTCTAAAGGGGTAACACTTTTGATATTTTATAGATTTTGTAAAATAGTATGAATTAACTATAATTTCATTAAAGAGTATATTAAATAGCATATCTATTTTATCATTTATTTAAATAGATGATATTTGACATTAGTTTTTAAATTCAAATTTAAAATTAATTTGATGATTAGGAGGCAGACCTGGGGGTGTCTGGTATAAGCATAACAGAGCAGCGCCGGGAAGTCTCCGAGTTTTCTGAATCCCATTTCATAACTGGTGTCACATTTATTACACGCAAACCAAAGCCAACACAGATTATGACATTAATTATCAAACCATTTGATGACTACATTTGGATTAGTATTATAATCGCGTGTATTGTTATCATGGTCACTATATGTCTCATTCAAAATACCAATTTCCAGACATACAATATAAGTATTAAGTGGGCAGTTGTATCGATAGTTTTGAGACAAAATGCTGCCTTAGCTCTGATACCAGGGTCATTGAGATTATTATTTTTGGGCTGGCTGTTAAGTTGTCTGGTATTAACATCTAGTTATAGTGGATGTCTATACTCGTTGATGTCTTTCCCTACAAGAATCAAAACCATTAATACAGTGGAAGAGTTGGCTGAAGAACAGATTGCCCACAGAATTAGAGTTATGGCCACTGAAAGTGATGCATACTATGACATGATCAGGGTATTTGTACCGGCAATTGGGTTGTAAAGTTTACAGTAATATATTGTATTTGAAACAGAACTCTAAGACAGGTTTAGGACAGTATTTGGCCAATGATTTGATTGCGTCGCTTTGGCTACCGTTTCGACAGCTACGCCAGTTTGTTTGACTATTTTTGAACCGCAAATATTGCAAATCCCTCCGGAATGAGATACTCTACATATCCCGCCCGCGGCTGTTGAAAATAAACGGCCCAGATAATGAAGATTCCGTGATGTTTAGAGATATTCTGGCCATTCCTATGCGTAAGGACTTTCAGCACAAGGATGTGGTCAACGATTTGTATGAATATATTAACTGTTTTAAGTTATTTATCATAATTGTTATGATTTATTAGCATAGGAGCCGTTAAAAAGTCTGGTTTTATAGACTATTGGAGGGCCGCTGAGATGAGACGGGTGTCCAATGATTTCAATGCTATTAATAAGTTTATTGATTCAGTCAATACCGATGTTAAACAAGATCATAGTTATAGTCCAATATATTTATCTCAATTAAATAGCGCTATAATTGCGTTTATTTTCGGTATAATAACCTCTGTATTTATATTTTTAAGTGAGTTTCTATATTTTATAATTACTGAAGTTGTGTACAAAAGATTATTGTCTCAGAAATGTAAATTAAATTATTATTATTATTAAAATTATGATAAAATAAAAAATCAATAGTGCTATATTAAGTGGGAATAAGCCTTAGGTTTTTATTTATTGAATATAATTCTTAATCAACATTTTATTAATAATGTTTATATTGTTTATTGTAATTAATTCATTTTTTAAAATAAATTGATTTATCATCAAAACAAATGTATATTCCATTAATTAATTTTAAATAATAATATAGAATCTATATTATAGATTTTATATGCTTTATAAAGAATGTATATTTTATTATACAGAAATTACTGAAGAATAAATTGAGTTTAAATTTTGAATTATAAATTAATAATCAAATTAATAAATGATATTTGCATTTCTTTAACACCTCTTTATCTTGTATAAATTTTAATATTCAATATCAACTTTGTTTGTTACATAAAACAATTACTCAAACTTTAAGATCCAATGCTTTACGAATGCATTTCTAAAATGAATAAATGAACAAACAGATTACAATTTGATATGTTTGATAAATCAAATAAAGAATAATTAAATGAATATTTTGGTGAAGTATAACATTTGTATGATTACTCACATATCTCTCGAACCCCTTTTTAATTCTCGTTTCTTCGCTCAATGAATCCAATTCTTTACTGAATTCCTTAAACTCTTTGGAATGACTTAACTTCTTATAGCACTCCTGATACTAAAGTTGGTATCAATATATATGACATTTGCATCAATTAGTCAACAATATCCTTAATATGCCATTTAATTAATTAAAATAATTATAAAAATAAAAACTTTTAATAAATAATAAAATAATAAATGATCGCATATTTACACGACAGTCTCCCTTCTCATCTTCATAATAAGCTGATCCGAGATGTGCTCGCAGTTTATCGCACTGTCGGGTCAGGTTCTGTATGGCATCAGATATGCGTCAATAATTAATTACTTATAATAATAATAATAATAATAATCATTCATGTAATATGATCGTACATTAAATTTATAGTATGAGTCCAATTCATTGCATTTCTCAATCTTTGCCTTAACGTCGTCCGAGTGATCTTTTTTGCAGATCTCGGCCGACACTTCTGTCCAGTTTTCCGAGTCCTCCAAGTCCTCCATATTTGGCTGTTCTTTGCAATCAACTAATGCCATATTCACTACGATCACTAGTAGTAGACAATTCTTGAATTGGGATTTCGGTAACATTTTTGAAAATTAATTGTGAAAGTTAGACACAATATGTTTATCACGAATTCAGTTCATGAAATGAACAATTTTAATTAACATAGTACTCTTAATTAGAAAATATTTCAAGGCTTGGATACAAATATAATCTCGAAATAGAAAATTCTGTTGTAGATTAAGATATGTTTTTTAATTTTGTTACCAAAAATATTGTGAATGATTGTATTGAAAGTATAAATATTTTTTTGTGAAAAAACATAAATATCTATTTATATAACATATAATAACGTGATTGATAGTATAAAGAAGTTTTACTTTACTATTCAAGTACATTTATTTGTGCAAATAGTAAATCCCGGTTAAATAAATAAATATGCAAATTTTATGAAAACTATTTAGCATTACATTTATAACTTATTTAATAAACACAATATTTATACAACTGTTAATTGTATTTTAGAGTTCACTATTAACATATTCATTATATCTTTATTAATAATTGATATATTATTAAATAGCAAAAAACACAATAAGTGTAATATTTATAATTAAACTAGGCTAATTATATTAACGGCAAATATAATACTAATTAATAGTAATAAATATGTAATAGTATTTTTTCAATTGTAAAGTATAATATTTATGAATAATAATTTATTCTAAATTGTTGCTGATTACTTTTATAATTTAATTTTTGTTTAATATTTAATTAAATTATGTAAAATACAAAAATATAGTATATTTTGTTGAGTAAATACAACAAAATACTGTATAGTTTTAATATTTAATAAATTATTAATATTATTTATAATTGTTAAGCTTTCAAATAATTCTCACTTTTTAACTATAATTTTCAAAAATAGCTAATGTATTTTTAAAATATAAATGCTAATTCTTTATTAAGAATTTTTATAATCAAATTGTAGAAAAATCGTGAGTAATATAAGAAATGTATGTTTAGATATAATAGATAATTATGAAAAATAGTAGTTGGTTTTAGTACAAATTAATAGGTAGTGTTTGCACCTGTTGTCAGCCTTGAGTATAAAATTTAATAATTATTAATAAATATTGTTTAAATGTTCAGACTTAATGCTTTGATAATCATAAATATTGTACACAATTTTCACCCACTTTTATGTAGGAGTAATCTCTCTCTCTCTCTCTCTCTCTCTCTCCTGTTATCTAAAAATCACAAAAAAGATTTAATTATAATCATTTAGTCAAATACCTTAAAAAGAAATAATTGTATAAAGTTTTAGAGACAAAGACTATAATAAATTTTTTGGTTGAATATTAAGAAAAATCTTTCTCCAAACCATAGCTAATTGAATAAAACTTTGCAAACATGATTGCAATGTTTATGTCATATTAAGAATGAGATAATTATTGACTCATTCATTCAAATTATTTGCAATATTTTTGACAGAAGTTTGTGAAATGCATTAAATATATGATAATAACTTACTTTACGACTTAATATACTGTACAGTGTAGTATACACACTGTTAGAGATTCTGTATTTAAAACTTATATTATTTTTAAGTGTTTGAATGCTTTTTGGATGTGTGTGTGTGTGTGTGAGAGAGAGAGAGAGAGAGAGAGAGAGATTACTCCTACATAAAAGTGGGTGAAAATTGTGTACAATATTTATGATTATCAAAGCATTAAGTCTGAACATTAAACAATATTTATTAATAATTATTAAATTTTATACTCAAGGCTGACAACAGGTGCAAACACTACCTATTAATTTTGTCTCAGTTTATACGGTATGACAACATCGCACTGTTGCCGGAGGGCAGCGCTCACTACCGCCCACTTAATAGCAGATGAATTGAATTTGAGGTCAATGTCTATGTATTTGAATACATAAATGGTGCCGATTATGACTATAAATGAAACTGCAATCCACGTCCAAACGTAGTCATCAAACGGTTTGATGATTAGGGTTAATATGAGTCTAGGCTTTGGTTTGCGGGTAAGAAATGTGACGCCAGTTATGATATGGGACTGAGAGAAGTATACGGCATCCGAGCGCTCGTCCGTCAGGGATATGCCTCCCAAACCAAAGTCTACTTTCTTGATGTATTTGAAAATTATTAATAATTAATAAGTTTTATTTTATTAATAACTTTCTTAAAAATTATATTAAAAATATTATGACACTAACCGATTGATTAACTAACCCCAACATCCCTGTCCAGCTATTATTGCTAAGTCTAATACCGGTTGATTTGCAATTAATGAGTGAATACGTGAAATTAAAGTAATAGCTCATCACATGTAGGAATTCCTTTTCAATACCTCTCTCCATAACCCAAGTGTTACTAACATTTCGCAAGTATACAAATGGAGGTATCTGATCAAATAAATTTTTTAGATTATATAAGTTTTCAAATTAGTATCAATACATACATGAGCTGTAGCTATCGTAATCGTATTTGTACTCATTTGTTATATGATACTTTTATTAAACATCAAATTTTGCTTGCTTACGATTAATAATTTATAAAATGTTGGATTTTATGTTCAAATGATTTAATGTGTACAATTATTATCATTGCATTTTCGAAATAAACATTATTGATTTGACCTTTCTTATATTATATATTTTAAATTGACAATTTTGTATGTTATTTACATATTATTTTTCTAGTCAATAGATGTTTTTAATTAAACATAAATACTTTAGCCTTTAGAACATGTATTCCTTTCATCATAAATACTTTGTACACACCAAATATTGTCTGTACTTTCTTTGTACCATTATATACAGTAGAATATTATTTTGTAAAAATATTATCATTATTGTAACAACACATTATTTCATTGCTATATTATTATGCAATATTTCATACATTGTATATATTCTACTGTACAAGTAAAATTTTGTACTTCACAAGTTTTCAAACTTTTGGGTACAAAATAAAGTAATAGAAAATCATGAAACAAATTAATAAATTGTTGTATTTGCACTTAAACACAATTTATTTCTATTAATAGTGTTATCTTTACCTCTTTTTTAACTTGAAACAATTGTTTTTTAAACTTATTATATTTTTGATACGCTTTTAATGAAATTAATGTTTTATACAAAGACATTGTCATTTTATTAATAGTTATTCAATAAATTGTGTATTATGTTAATGAAACAAGGACTGTAACTTATATTATTAATGAATATTTAAGTATGATATTTATTGATTTGTAACTTAAATTGATTTACTAATAAAACTGCATAAAATTAATCAGAATTGAAAACATTTATACAAAGATGTATATGATATCAATAAATTTTATCAAATTCCTTAAAATCTTTATAATAAATTCCACTTCAAACAAATCGTTTACCTATTAATTTGTATCAAAATAATTTACTTAAATTTTAAAAATAAAAAGTAATTTTACTATAAATTAGTATTGATTAGACTATAAAAAATATTTACCAGCACTTGTGTTTGACTTACGTAAACATATTTAACAATTTCTTAATGTAAACCTCATTTTCATAGGAATTGAAGGCTTTAACACAATAGACATATCGACTTTGGTGTCATCCCAATCAACCAGTGATTCAATACTGTATTTACGAAACATTTGCGCCAAAAACGCCTTTTCCTCCAATATAGCGAACTTTTGTCCGATACAATTGCGAGGGCCGGCACTAAAGGGTATGTTAGCGTACGGGTGTCTATTGGCCGTACAATCGCTGTCATACCGGGTCGGGTCAAACTCATCTGGTTTGGGAAAGTAATGCGGGTCTCTGTGCAAACATATGAGCGGTATATAGCATGTCGACCCCTTTGGTATATGATATCCAGATTTCAATTGAAATGATTTCTCAATTTGTCGGCCAATGATCTGAATGGGAGGGTAGAGGCGCAGGGATTCACGAATACATTGGTCTAGAAATTTCATTTTTCTTAAGTCATCGACAGTTATGTCGCGATCCATGTCATCCGAGAATATTTCGTTCAATTCCTGATGTATTCGCGACTGAAATAACAAAATATTAAATAAATTACATAAAAGTTAATTAAAAAAGAGAAAATTCTTAATAAAAATTATAAGACCTGGATATCCATGTGCTGCCCAATGAGCATAAGTGTGAACATGAGAGAGCTGGCAGTGGTGTCGTGTCCGCCAAACATAAATGTGTCGACATGTGAGCGCACGTCCCTCTCAGACATGTGGTCACTATGTTTGAGATGATAATTGATGAGTATATCGAGAAATACGAGTCGCCTTTTAGTGCCGATACTATCCATCGCCGCATCGATCGCATCGCCAATTGAGTCAAAAGTATTTTCATAATCTTTAATCTTATCTAAAATCTCAGTCTTTCTCTCTTTGATTACCTGAAGAGTGAAAGCAAAATAAAACTATTGAAGAAAATATACAAACATTTCTAACAACTCTTATATTACAGAATCTGTGAATCCGTGTAATATATGAAGTCTTTTCTGTAGAAGTCGTCCCAAAGAGCTCTTATAAAACGTGAAGTCAGACCAAAGCCATGGCTTTATAAACCTGAGGATAGAGACGGCAAATGTGCGGCGAATGGCCTCAACGTAGTCGGAGTTTGGGTTCAGTTGTGCGCTC